CTCAAATAAAGCTTGTAGAGGGGAATTTATTTATAAGAAACCTTATAAAAGCTTAAGTTTTCAGAATTTAAAACAATAAAAAGTGATTTTTTTTTTCAAATAATAACGCGCCGCTTTCTAGGGAAACTGCTTCCTGTACTAGAAAGATGACAATGAAGAAAATGAGAATGAATGCTTTACTTAACATTAAAAAAGAAACTGTGCTATGAAGTGTCAGGTAAAACAATATTAACAACCATATTCCTATTAACATTTAAGGCTATAATTATATATCAGTATAAATTTAACCTTATGTAAGAATTTAGAAGCAGTAGGTTTGATGAGTATGAAATAAAGTCATAGATTTATGCTTCATGTAGCATTTTATTATAATTTTCGCTTTTAGAGTTGTTATATTATTATATTAAAGCATATAAAATTTGTAGTCAGCAGAGCAAGCTTCAAATAATTTTAGTTAATTGGCAAGAATGGTGGCTCACGAAGCAGCACTCTTTCCTGTGGTTTCATTTTAAACAAATCGTGCTCACATATAAGAATAGCAAACTGCCTTAAATTTTATATAAGACATTTTACAGCTTCTCGTACAGGAACAGCTATAAGCAGTCTTCACGGAACATACCAGAGCACGCAGCTTTGGGTAAACTCTCTGGCAAGATAGCATTAATGGCAATGTAAGATATAGTGCCTAACAACTTAATGCTTAAAATATGCCGAAAGAAGTTACAGGTTTTAAAAGAATAAAACAAAACTACCCAAAAGTTTGAGCATTAAATCCTGATATTCTTTACTGTCTCTATGTTAAAAAAGAAAACGTTTTTAATATTTCTTAGTTCAGATTGTTTAATACTGGCCAAAAAGTCTTAATTTTTCTAAAATTCCAATTGTATATGGAGTACTTTATTCATACTTTCCAAAATGAAGTAAAGATGAGAGCAGTGACTAGAGTCATGAAAATATCATTACTAATCATTGCTATTTTTATTTAGTAATTGTTCATTTATTTTAAATACTAACAATTTTAACCTCCAGTTTAAAGTACAAAGATGTTTCCTGTCTAATCTGTCATAAAGTCACTTTTAAAAGATTAAAATACCCGGGGTTGTAGCTCAGGGACGCTGCGTCTGCCTGGCTAGCACAAGGTCCTGAGTTCAATCCCCAGTATGGCCAAAAAAATAAATAAATAAAATAAAATAAAATAAAATAACAGCTATAAAATACAGTGGACATGTTTTTAACAGATACATTTCTGGGTCTTGACATACAGATATGAACTGACTGACTGACTTGAGAATTTCAGTCAGAAGGCATAGTAGAAGATTTAAAAAGTCCATCCATTAAAAAAAAAAAAAAAAAAGGCTAGGGTTGGAGATTCAGCTCAGTGGTTCTGCTTGCCTCACAAGCATAAGGGCCGAGTTCAATCCTCAGTACCAAAAAAACCAAAAAAAAAAGTCCATACTTCCCTTCCTTTATCTAATAAATTTCCCAAAGAGGAAAACAGTAAACAGGTCGACAAATGGGCAAAATTTGTCTAATCAGATGTACATTTTTTTTTCTCTGATACGAGGGATCAAACTCAGGACCTTATGCTTGCAAACCAGGCAGCAGAACCACTGAGCTAAATCCCAAGCCCCAGATATGTACATTTTATATTCTACAGCAAAATGCCAAAGTATTATACAGAAGAGTTGTGGAAAGTGAGCAATTGCCTATTAAGATTTGAAATTCAGTGCACAAACTGCAGAATATTTTTCTTTTCTTTTTAAAAAATGTAGTTAATTGTGTCACAAAGGAGAAGAAAATCTCAAGAAAAATCAAATTTATCAAAATAATGGTTTCTATAGTCCTTATGAAAATATCTTAGTATCTAAATTCTTTTACTTTTGAACTATGTAACATTTCAGATCATTATTCAAAGAACTTGTAAAAACATATCATCATTTTCACTGCTCAAGGTAATGTAAAAAAGCCTTAGAACATCAAGATTCATTGTGCAAAATTAAAATTATAGTTTTTTGTCTTTTTTTTTGGAGAGAAGTTTATTAAGAAGAAACAATGCATACAAATATTTTACTGTCCTCTAAATACAAGTTATCTAGCTTGAGATAATACTAATCACCAATAATTTATTAGTAGAGGCAATTTTTTCTTCATAATTTTCCATTTTATGTAGGTACCCAGTCACTCCAACAAATAAATACAAATATTGACATCGTTTATGGTTTCTTTGGTGCCTCAAAGAAATTATATAATATCCAAAGACTGAAACCAACTTTTTAATAGAATTTGAATGGTTAGATATTGGTTGTGTAAAATACAAAAGACAAATATGCTGAACTTGATTGAAATGAGAAAAATTATTTTTGAAACTCAGGAAAATAGCCACAGCATACTAGTCACTGATCATATATTGATTTTATATAATTAAATAAAAATTAGTAGCCACAAAGCCTTAATTCAAGAACTCTTCATTATATATTGACTACTTTATTCATATATTCCAAAACAAAGTAAGTTTGATAGTTAGCAGTGACTCAATCCTTAAACAGCATTACAAAGTCATGTGGCTTTTTTCTTATTTAATTTCATCCATTGCTTAAAATATATCTCTCACACAGTAGGTATTCAATAAACATTTAAAAAGTCACTATGTAATCAAAGAAATTGATCCGTAAATGAATTTGATTGTTGATTTAACATATAGGAATCAGATTGTTTTAATTTGTTAGAGACATATGCTGAACATCTATACAGTTCCACCCAGACACATGCTTTCCACATAAAAATAAACACCACATCTGTGGCACAATCATAGCATAGAACACAGTGTGCAATACACGTATCAATTCTCCATTTCACTTGTACAAAGTGTAAGTGTTGGTAAAGTTCCAAAGTAGAGTCATATCATCTACAGCAAACCTTCAGGTCTAAATGAGGACTAAGCTTGCTGTTCACAATTTAGTTTGAAATGTTAACAACCTAAGGTTGTTAACATAACAACTGGCCATTAATGTGGTAATGACCAATTTAAGAGGCAACTGTACACTCAGAAATGAATATATTAGCAATCAGGACTGGGGTTTATATTTGAAAGAGTAGAAAATATTTATAAGAAGTTTACTAGCATTAAAAGTTGGATCCAAACAGAAATGAACTAAAAGCCGTACCACAAAATACAGCACACACTCTGTTAGCGATAGATAAGCACTTCTGATATGAAAACTAGTTTGATAAATTCCTTTTAGCAAAATACTTGAGACAATCAAATACCAATTTTATATCATATTTTTACTACCATCAGGAAGACTAAAACAAACATAAGTTTGCTTCCCTTGCTCAGTGCTATACTGATAACTATAAAGCTATGTCTCTCGCAATACAGTTATTGCATGGAAATTTTACATTTTCAACTTTAAAAATCTAGCAACTCCTTTGAAAGCTTACTTAATTTTAGTCTTTTGTTGTTTATTAAACTAACTTAACCTTATTCAGACTATATAAATTCCTTGTTTGGAATTGCAACAATTGGAATTAAGATGCTGAAATTGTAAGCAAATGTAAAAGTCAAAAGAAGTCAAACAGTTGTGATGGTTGCACATAAAGCCAGACTAGAAAGTAGTGTTAAATAGTGAAACACAAATACGGATGCTTTATGTGGAAAAGAGGCTCCAATTCACAATGAGCAGGGGAAAAGTTTTTATTTCAAAGAGAAAAGTTCAAAGGCTGGAGAGTTCTGAAAGACTTCACATTATAAGTTAACTCAGATTGATTAGTTGTGCCACCGTAATGAAGGAAGCTCTGGATGGTAAGAGTCTCTTCCCATTGTTGGCACCCTGCATGCATTTTTTTTTTCACTTGGAAGATAGAAAAGTAGTAACAAGTAGTCATAATTATTCAATAGGCTGTCAAATGAGGAAGTCCTAAAAGGGAATCTGATATTCTACTGGATTCACCCTCTTGTAACTACCATTAATCAAAATATATTTTATATATAAAGATCGAATCGGACTTTAAATAACTGAATTATAGACTATGAAGGATCCAGTTCCCTAGAAAACACCTCCCAGGATGACTAAGATGGTTAAGGAGTAATGGCTGATTGATAAATTTTGTGTCATAAGAGAAAAATTCAAAATAAATAGCTTAATGTCAGGCAGGAAAAATGATTAATTGTATCAAATATGAAATTGCAAATGATGCCATATATCATTTCTCTAATTTGATAGATCCTACTTTATTAATGTAAGTAATTTGCAGCTGAATCAAGTCACAAAGTTCCCTGAGAAGCAAAATAATTTCTCCTCAGTAGAAGTTCTGTGTTGAAAATGGTGGGAAACAAGTCTGGCTGCCTTCATGGCTTCCTCATTAACAGCACCTGCATTATCTTGAAACTGAGGTTTACAGTTTGGAGCACGGAGATCCGTGTTCCATAAAGAGAGGTCCTTACTTTGTGATTATCCATTGGGACGTGCTACACGAAGTCTCTGCAATGACTGTTTCGAATATCATGGGGGAAGATATACTAATACTTGAGGAAAGTTTTCAAAACTGAGCAATAAATGTATTCTCTTAGTAAATACCAGACAAACCCGAATCAGAATGGATAGTTGAAGAACTTTAGGAGGATGTAAGCTCCAACTGAAGCCCAGCTTTGCAAACATAGCTAAAATGCTTAGCCATTTCTCTGTGTTATTCTCGCTCTATTTATCTCTGGTACTGTAATGAAGGACAAATAAACAAAACTTGTATACTGAGCAGTTTCAATATACGTGGTAGAAATAACGGGTTGTTGAATAGGAGTTTGCATGCAAGCAAACTGAAACAAGTTAGCTCTTAGTTTTGCTGAGTGGTCCTTAAGTAGTAATTTGGGTCACATACACAGGGCAACATCTTTCAGGAACATAAGCTGGTGGTAAGGAAATAAAACAAGCAAACAGAGATACACTTACAAATGTATGTTAAAAGGTATCCAGTCATCACTGGTGTGCTAGGGTAATTCCTACCTCAGATAGTCTCTGCGACAAAGGATAAGATTAGCTTTAGTGTACAGGGTGGAGCCCACCTCTCCCAAACGACAGTCACAGCAGGCACACTTCAGGCAGTCTTCATGCCAATATTTGTCCAGTGCCTTTAGAAGATACCGGTCCTTGATCTTTCGGTTGCAGCCAGCACAACCTTTCGGCTTGGTGTCTGGCTGGACTGAGAGCATTTGTATACCTGAAAGAGGAAAACAAAACAAGAGCACTGAGACCACGAGACAGAACGGAAAGATGTCAAGAGATCTCCAACAACTTAAATATTTAATACGTCTTTTCCTAGGAGCAGTGGCTTTCCTTTCTTAGGGAAGGATGCACTGAAATCACAGTAAATTTTGGAGGCAAAAAGTCTCAAACCATAAAATCCTTACTAAATCACTGGTAAAATTATACATATAAAGTGGCAATAATAATGAATTCAGGTTGCATATGGTAAGTTGACATTTTATCTGTAAAGTTAAATAACATTCAGTCATTGTATAGTGTCCCTGTTCTCCACATAGAGCAGTTTCTTTAGGAAGAAAAATGAACAAATTGTTAACACTCTGAAAAGAGACCTATTTAACAAAGTAATCGTGTATAGTCTAAAGGAGTCAAAAATAAGTTTTGCTTAACTGGTTAAAATTTTCACTTCATATGTGCTTGAAGGTGGAAGAAAAGTACACCCTGTATGGGATTATAGGAACCTCACTGAGCTACTCAGATGTTTATAATTAAGTACACAACACAGCCACCCCAAAAGCGAAGCAATCCTATATGGCTTGCTTGCATTCAAAGACTTCCTTATGTGTCCTAGATATTTCAAAGCGTTCATTATGTTAAAGTAACAAAATATATTCATACTCACCACCATCAGTCATTGCCTTTATTAATGGTTCATTACTTAACTATACATTATAAGCTTTTATAGGAAACTAAAGTACAGGATTATACTTATTGCTATGAGCATGCACTTATTACTTTATACGAGAAAGATCAAAGCATCGAAGGCTAGTGCAATATCGATAAAATTATCCAATCACACATAAATAAATACAGAATTAGATATTAGATATAGGGGTGATAACACTTGTGAGCTATATCTCTGTCATACACAAGGAGTCTAGCTGGGTGATATGTTTCATAACTTGAGTGAAATTATTTCAGTGGATATTTGGCTTTGATTTTCTTCTTATTTTCTAAGTGTCAAATACTCTGCCTAAAAAACAAAAAAGCTGGCCCAACTATTCAGAGCTTCGTCTTCATCAAATACGTCATTTTAAGCACTATAAAATGCTGCAGACATCATCAGTTCCAAATTCCCTCATTTTCCAAATTATAACATGGAGCCCCAGAGATTTTAGTGCACTGCCTCAAAAGCTTAATGACATTTAAGTGTGGATTTGGGGCCAAGTGGCCTTCTTACAATCCAGAGATCCCTCTGGTCTACCCTGCTGCCTCTCCTAGGCATAAAGTTTTAAACTTGGATGTAAAAGGATGTAAAACACCAAACATGCCTGCTCTGAAAGAGTTTCAGGGAAACACTAAGCTATCATTGTCTACATTTGTTTCCCCTGATACTCTGTGATGAAGTCTTTTCCGTCATTACCTTCACAGCCTTCTTTTTCAAAACAAACCCAATAAAAGGTGTCGAGGCATCTCTGCAGTTGAAAAACTTTTTAAGCTACAAATAATTCATGAATTGTACATAATAGTATCATGATGTTGAACTTTCACTAGAAAATAACTTGTCAGGCAGAGTGGCGGAGGGAAGAATGGCAGGAAAGGAAACAGGGTGCTGTTCTTTCTGCATAGTGTGCCTGGTCTTCTGGCTGCAGAGTGGCAGCTGAATTTGCACAGAAGAGCAGGTGGTTTCCCTATAGCCTGCTTTCTGTGCCTTTTCTTTGAAGGAGCTAAGGGCCTAGTGTAGATTAATCATAACCCTTGATAGCTCTGTTAAATCTAACTCTCTAGAACTTCTAATACACTAAGTTTCTTTGATCAGAACTAGTTATCCTTTTCTAGCAAGGTTCCACAAGGACCGAATCCCATCCATCACAGGGCACAACTGACCCAAGTGCCTCTTGTTTAGAAATCTAGGGAAGAGGAGGAAATTTTGCTTTTCCAAATGACATCCCGGATTTCATTATTAACAACACCCAGAGAGATATCAAGAGTGGCCACTCTAATTATCTAATTTATAAGATTACTATTTTTTTAAATCACCAGGCTAACAGAAAAAAATGTTAAGAAAATCCCTCTTGGTAACAGCTAAGCTATAGCTATGGAAATAGTCAAACTATCCCCTGTAGCTGTGTTACTCTTACCAAACGTAGAAGGTTAGCTATCTTTTTTTCAAAATGCTTTGCAACTAAAACGGGAGATACCAACATTTGGCACAAGTAACACTACCCTGCTTGTCTTCACAAAACGGTTTTTGTTGTGTTGACATTTTAATTTAACACTCAGAGGCCAATTAATATTTGAAACTCTTACATTCTGTTTGGCCTTGGGCATCTAAAGGAGCTTCCTATTTTACACTCCACCCTCTATCTTCTTTTAGAGACTATCATCACATTTCTCTTGGAAAAGGAATCTTTGCAACGTTATGCAAGTTAACAGTTGCAAAAAAAGAACTATTTTGTAGTCACCACATTGCCCTGTACCTAAAAGGCAGAAAGCAGTCAGTGGCCTCCCGTCATCAACCAGAAGAACATGTCTGGGTAGAGTTATGTGTGCATAGCTGAGAAACATTTCACAAGTTGCTCACAGCACATCAGGACTCATAACTAGTTTTAGATTGGCATGTAAATTGTTCTGAGGGAAATTCTTATTGCCCTGAGACCCTGCCATTCTGAGTTATTTGACAGTTTAAGGGAAATCATAATTAAAAAAAGACATAAATAATAGCCTGTGCAGTGTGGTGTGCAGAAATAAGTAGAACCATTTCATTTAAACTCTGGTGAGCTTTTAATTGCCTGGATTGCATTGTGAGTCGGCCTAACGGTTGATTGCCTCCATTATGTTCCCTTGTTCTGGGCCATTCATCCGCACAGTCGAAGCTTCAGTAGTTAACACAACAAAGTAACCACAACTCCACAACACAGAGGGGTTTAAACATAATAATAATAATAATAAAAGATCTGCAGCACTTCGACACAGTCTTTTATATTTTTGGACTAACTACACAGAGTGAATGGAAAACGTTTTGTCCCTGTGGGAAGATCCACAGAGGACAATTTGGGAGAAGGCACAGGAAGAGGGATCCATAAAAGAGACTGTGAGAGAGATGAGGTGGCTCCAAAAGATGCTAAAATGGGAATGCAGGTTCTGCAGCTGGGAGCAGTGGCACAGATTAAAAGAATTTGGCCAACGCAGCCATTCGATTGCCAAGAAGTACCAAACAAAAGATTTTCTCTCCTCCTGCCCATCTTCTTCCTCCAACCACCCCCCCTACCCCCCTGCAGCGGATTGGAAAACTGGATTGGGCCTAAAAGCTTGTTTCTCTCTGTTCACTGGCCCAAAGCATCCCTAGAGGCTGCAGCCCCCTAAGGGACAGCAATGCAAATAGATGTCCCCAGATCTCTGGCACTGGGGCTGCTTAACTCTGTTCTGCCCCTTCAACTCCCAGCCCCCTCCCAGTCCTACCAGCCCCCCCCCCTTTGAGCAATGGAGCTGGGAACCAATTTGATTCCCTTTTTCTCCAATGCAGCTGCAAGGCTCAGAGATACTGACATTTTTCCACTCTTATCAGTTTAATTACAGTTACCATGGCAGCAAAGTGCTAGTGCTTGGCAAAGGCCAACAAGAGATTTGCAAGACTGAGTTCAATTTTGATGCAGCTCACATGCAAAATAAAAAAAAATAAGAAACATACATACACTCTAACAAAGAATCCCTTGCGGAGTTTATGCTTCAGCCTTTTGTGGTTGTCTTTGCAGCCACACTGAGGTGGTTAGCAAAGAATGTAGCAGTATTTGTTGCACCTAGCAGGATTAATTGGTTTAAGCAGCAGTCCTTCAAAGCAGTTACAACAATAATATTTTGGATCTTTTAGAAAGGCACAAAAGCAGCGGAAGAGCAGGAAGGCTTTCGAGTAGCCACGAGTGCAGAGCGCCGGCAAAGTGCATCTAGGAGAGATCGTAACCTTACCAAAACTTTTCTCCCTTTTCTGCATGAGTTGTCTTAGGCGTATCTGAGTCGCAGCTGCTTCGCATTGAGCACCGAGCCCGGAGGCAGAAGTCGAAGGGAATCTCCTCCGTTCGGCTCTAGCGTGGCCCTGGGGCGCAGCCCGCACCGCCGAGGACAGACTATGGTAGAGCCACTTTGGGCGCGAGCGGGTCGGGTGGAGGCAGGGGTGGGGGAAGGGATGAGGGCGGTTAGGCAGGGCGAGCAAACGGAGCCCCTCGCGGGGTGGCAGTGTGCAGAATGATGGCGAATGACAAAGCCACATGCTTCCCTAACTCTGCCCGCGCGATCCTAAAATCCCAGCGGCCCTTTTTAGCTTCCTGGTAACAAATGGATTTGATTAAACTGTCACACGCAGCGTTAGCATAGCATATCATGTTCAATAGGAAAAAGATCATAAATCTGACTCGTATTTCATAACAGCAGTCTGAGGAGCCCCCGTGCAAATGCGCGGCCTCAGTTTGAATCGCAGCCTATTAGCACCTGGGCACCCCGTTCCAGGGAACCTCTTTCCTCCGGCCGCTTCTCACCGCTCCCCTCCAGCGGCCACTTTTCCACCACCACAGAGCCACCTGAGGTGCTTATGGCTGTAGAGGGAAGAGGCCGGAGTGTCCACAAGCCTGGGAGGGTCGTGCTTTGAACTCTTGGGCGGGGGCACGCATTTGAGCAAGTGTGGACGGGGTCCTGGCGCACACCCGGGACTGAGTTCTCCTCCCACGGGCTGGAAGCCAACATTTCTCAGCGGCAAACTCTCCCTGCCCCTGGTCCCCGGGAGGCAGGGGTGTGGAAATGCTGCAGTTCCTGGTGAACTTTGACTATTATCCACTGAGTCGGACTTGAGAGGTTCTGCGCCGCAGCCGCGCGCCCTGCTTCCTCTCGTCTTCCGCCTGCATCTATTTCGTGTCTCATCATAAAAATAATGAAGCCTCACATGATTTACACAAAACCGTCTCAGCAGAGATGCAGCCCGGGTGAAAGTTGCAGTGCGGAGCGAGGACTGCAGCTCCAGTTTATGCCTCATTAGGAGAGAGGCTGGGGAAGGGGGGAAAATACCCACATCCGCACACGCACGCGCGCACCCGCACACACACACACACACACGCACACACACGCACACACACACCACAAATAAGGCTCCGCGTGTGCACACAGTCGCTACACTTACCTTCTCAATTAAGCAGTACAGGGGGAGGCCGTTCAGAAAGCACAGTGGCTGCTTTGTAGCGCTTCTCCTTGGGAAAGGTCAAAAAGAAGCATTGTTTGAAAAAAAGAAGGGGGGAGAATCTCTATTTTTTAAGTTTAAAATAATGAGGTCCTCGAGGATCCCCCAAGTAACGGTGTTGTCCGCATCTGAGCCACAGGTGTCCTCCTTTTAGGGAACTGCAGTCCGAAGCTGTCGCTCTCCTCCTGGCTCAAGACAACTAGCCCGGCAGCGCGGTTGGAGCCGAGCTGAAGGAAGCCCCAGCTCTCAGCTGCAAAACGCAATCCCTTCCCAGCCAGACATAATACAGCCAAAGAAAAGGTCATTCAGTTATTACTGAGCCGGCGGAGCCCAGGAAGCGCTGTCAGGCTCGCAGAGAAGCAGCTCCCTCCCGATTTAAGACTATTTACCTCTCGCCCCCACCCCTCCCTCTTCTCTCCTTTTTTTCTCGCTAGCTCTCGCTTTCCTGTTCTGCAGATTAGTCAAGTACAGCCGCCCTCGGAAGGAAAAGTGCAAAGCAGCCACGAGACAGATCGGGCTTTGTTGCTAATTTCCCAGGGTGAAAATTTACAAGCCTGTGAGTGCAGTCAGCACAATCGCATGCATATGCCCCTCACAGACGCCGGGGACCCGCGCACAGACTGACTTCTGCAAGGAGTCGCCTCGGGAAGGACCCTACCTCCTGGACCCGTGCAAAAGAACTCCTGCGAAAGAGCTCCGCGGAGAAGGGTAGGGTTCCTAAAATAATCGGGGCATATTGGAATAGGGGGTCACAGTTAGAGCCAATTGCCCTCTACAGCCATTTCTGAAGCTACCAATTATAGAAATTAAAATAAAAGCGAGGGACTCAAACTACTACAGGATTACACTGGCAAAAGCTCACACTCCTCCCTCTGAAGGAACCCGGGTGGGGCGGGGGTCGGCAGTCTCCCAGTCTCTGGCTTCACGGAGTCTGCTCCTCAAGTTTGCCACAAGAGCCAGGTCCGCGGGCGCCTGACTCGCACCCACTTTTCTCCCTTCTCATGGCCCAGGACCAAGGTGGGGACTTGGCCCCCGCTGACCAACTCTGCACCCCCACTTCCACCCCTGAAACATACTTCCTGCCATGGCTGGAATTCGTCGCTATTTAAAACTTATAGGCTTGCACGGAAAACACTCCAGAGCACTGAGAACTGTCTTTGCAGGACTAACTTGGTTAAAGAACTGTAGTTTCTTCCCACCATTACTGACCTGTCTTCCTAGAAGGCCTTCGCTGATTTTTTTTTTTTTCCTTAAAAGAGGTCCCATTTTTCCTAACCTCTCTTCACTTTGCATCTGTAAAGGCCATTGGTAGCTGTAAAACATCTTAGTATTTTTCTAAGTTTCCAAACTTCAGCCATCCTGTCTTTTCCCAGCTCTTGAAGTCCCCTCACCGGACTTTACAAAGCTTTGTCAAAGGGCAGGCTTAAAAACAGTGCAAATTTGAATGACACTGGCTGTCATGTTTTAAGAGGCAAGAAAGACTCAATTGTTGAACTACAAAAACTTTTTTCTTCTCTACATCATCAGTTTTAATCTAGTTCTATTTTTTTTTTAAAAAAAGCACAGCAGCCCCTGTGAATATTTATGCTAAATTATGCTCATCTGCATAAAGAATACTGGCCCAGCATTGATAACTTATTTTTTACCCCCTCCCTTCTGAAGGCCCACAATAACATCATATGTGTCTTGCTTTCCTCTCCCTTAAAAAGGCAAGAAAACTCAGAACTAACCTGAAAAATAACGAAATTCACAGACGACAGATTAGTAAGAACCCCTTTCAGTTGGATGGTTCTGTACGTAAGCAGATCTCTTAAGTTTGGCTTTTCTGGCCCGACTACACAGGCACATATACACCTCACCCATCCACACAGCTCCTGCTGGTCTACCCCACCTCTTTGCTGGAGCCACTCTGGAAACACCCCAGTGGTGTGTGTGTGTGTGTGTGTGTGTGTGTGTGTGTCGCGTGCTCTCTCTCAGCCAATGCACCGAGAAGAAGAGAGTGGGAGGGAGAAGTATGTGTGGGGAAAGGGAGAAATAAAATCAAAACAAATGGTACAGCTAATGAGGACAATTAAATT